GTTTGCGCTCTGCTCCCTTCCCCTCTCCCCGCTGGCTCGGGTTTCTCGCTCTCCCCGCGCTCGCGCGCGCGCTCTCTCTCCCTCTCCCTCTCCCTCTCTCTCTCTCTCTCTCCCAGGGTTCATTCACATTAACAGAGCGAAGGAAGCCACGGCACGGGTTCCCCAGGAGGACAGAAGGGAAACCGCGTTTCCAGCCACCTGGCTCGCCCAACCCAGGACACTCAGCCTCCCCTCCGACGACTTGGGGACTCTTTAATATGTGGAGTGTGTGTGTGTGGTGGCCTTTCTTTCCCCGTGTACATATCCGTGCCTTTACCTGGCGAAGAATGTATAGGAGTGTGGGAGTGAGTGTCAGATTTCCAGAAGCCCCAGATGTAAGTCACAGCTGGGAGACACTGCAGGCCAAGCCAGGCCCTGGCCACTCTCCTCCCGCACCCAGGTGGCTCCTGCCTTCTGCAGCTCCTCGGGGACCTGCTGGCAGGGCCTGGGAGCACCCAGACTTCGGGGTTGAGGCAGAAGGGAGGTGTCAGTCCGAGGTCTTTTGAGAAGAACATAGAATTCTTGCTTTATAGGTGGGTGGTGAGGCTGTGATTGAAGCTGGGGCGCACCCCATTATTACATTTCGGATAGCATATCACTGTGAGGCTAGGAACATCCGGGCTGTACCAGGTTCAAATATACCAGCCCCCTGTGTCCCTCGGTCTCCCATCTCTCTTCCAAACCTTTATTTCTTTTTGCCTTTCGCTCGACTCGAGCTTAACTGGCTTTCGCTTACTGCTTCCCCTTCATCACCAGCCGGGGCTCCAAGCCCTGCTGGCTTCACTTAATTGCCTTTGCTGCTGGCACGATCTCAACCTGGACACACTCCGTTCCTCTCAGAGCCAGTCCAGGCTCCTCCTCCGTGGAAAGCCAGCTCCAAACTTCCCTCCAGGAGGTCCTCAGAGACCAGCACCTGGTCTATCGTGCCTTCCTACCTCCCCAAAGCTCACGTGGTTGGCATCCCTGTCCCGTGTCCTGTGGGATGCAGCGCTGGACACCCTCAGGCAAGTGAAAGAGGAATATAGAGAGCTGCTATTCTTGCAAAATGCAGCTTAAATTTCACCTCCTTTGTGGCGCCTTCCCCGGCTCCTACTACCCGGAGAAAATCGGTGACCCCATGCTAGAATGAACAGATCGCTCACCCAGGAGATCGTGAGCCTTCTCTGTACCTGACATATATGAGAAGTGCTTAAGAAATATTTGCTGAGTGAGAAGTATTCCTTGGTTGGGGAAAATAGAGCATATAAATAAAAGGGAGAAAATTCCAAGACAGTATATATAGCCCAAGGACCAGACTGGCTGCATTAATTAGCATTGTCGGCCCCCTTCTCCTGCCTTTGGGGTGTCTGTTCTGCTTCTTCAAAGTCTCAGAGAACAAGAGTCATCATCTCTATGTTACTTCCACCCACCTGCCACCTGATCTGGGCTTCTGAACACAGCAGGTGGCCAATGTGTGCCTGAAGGTGTACAGCAGGTGTGAGAGAGCTTATTGTGGCTCAGAACAGGGCTGCTCATCTCGACCCCTAATATCCACGAGGATAAATTCTGGGTTCTATTCTCAGAAGCCCCCAGAAAGATGGATCTCAAGCTTTTCTTTGTTTTTGTTTTTGTTTTTCCTTTCATTTTATTTTCTTTTCCTTCTTCCTCTCCTCCTCCTCCTCCTCCTGCAAGGAACAAATCTTTGCCTTATATTAAATCTTAAACAGAAGCCCAACATAAACAAACCAGGTCTCCCACAAGTTAGCCTTGTAGGTAAGCACTGGCATTACTCCGGCCGGATGGGGGACCCAGAGTACCCATACCCACCCTCCCACACCACATGACGTGAAAACCGACATCCTGAGCTGGATCCTGGGACACTCAGAGATGACACCTGGGTACTGGGGCCCTCCTATAAACAACGGATCCTCACAGAGACAAAGCAGAAGTCTTCATCGGAGTCCTGCTAGACCAGCTCCCTGCCTCTTCTCTCAGAGGAGCGTGTGGGAGAGTCGAGAGAGCTCTGGGCCAGGAGCCAAGACAGCCGCCATATCCCGCTGGCCCCACGGCTAACTAGCAGGGTGATCTTGGACAAGCCGAAACCACCTGGGAGAAAGATACCGCTCTGGGCTCCCTTTCAGAGTTGTTTTGAGGGTCAAATAAATCAGCTTTGCACATTGCATACACTTAGCGACCATTGTGGAATGAGTAGTAAATGCTCCCTTTTCTACCTTTTTTTTGGACACTGTCTAGGGGACAGACATTTTCTGTTAATTCTCACTATTATCCCCCTTACGACACCTGGAAAATCCAAGGCACAGAAAAGTTGAGTAACTTGCTCAAGGCCTGACACCTGGAAGATGTCAGCTCAGATCCTGACGACGTCAAGGCCAGAGTTTTTCAGGGACACTAAACAGCCTCTTGGTCCTTGTCAAGTACTTCTTGATGGTGTCGTTATTATTACGCATTAATTTGGGGGACATGGACTCCAGTGGGGGCTTGGCAGTTTGCCTTTCCTTCTGTAGACACCTAAGTGGCAGCCATGCTTATTCCTGAGACGACGAGGGTGTAGACTGTGGAGTCAAATAAGGACTTGACCGCCAGCGAAGGGAGCTAGAGCAAACTCAAGACTGTCTGAGACCATTTATCATGCCTGGGTGATCACAATTTAAATCTGGAAATTTCTGCTCAGCTGGATTAGAGAACTCTAAGTGGCAGTATTTAACTGCTGCCCGAGGTCCCTGGAGTTTCTCCCATGTGACATTTTCAGATCTGAGTGAGGGAGGTGTCCTTTGCTTGCTCTAGGGGAGGCTCTGGATTGGCCTTGTTCTGGTGAGGCTGGACGCTTGGCATCTTCCCCCAGGGGGCCACTCAGCATAAGTTTTACTGTTGGGGGAGGGGACGTCAACATACATATTACCTCTCTGGACAGCTGAGAAGGCGGAGATATTTGGTCCTGTCCTCCAAAGCTGTCTTTTTCAACCCAAAGTGGTTTCTTTCTCTCTCTTGGGATCATTCGGGTAATTACCACAATTCTTCACTTTACTTTGACTGTGAAGACAAAGCTTTCATGAGCTCAGAACCCTCCCATGATCTCAACTCCAGGGTGAAGCGGCCGGGAGATGGCAGTGGGAGAGGAATACGATATTAGGCTGCGCGTGCCGCGTAACGTGCATGTAACGTGCATGTCAAATTGGTGAAGAAGCTGCATTTGCAGTCACGGGGAGAAGGAAGGGAGAGGCCCTCTGCCAGCTAGGGAGCGTGGTGGCTCCAAAAGCCTTCATTAAAAGCTTCGTTTCCCCCTTTGTCCTCCAGCAATAAGGACCTTTGTGTGGCAACTTTTTGTAATCTCTCATTTTCATGCCCAAAGCAGATGGTTCTGTGGGTATCAGAAGGCTTAGTTGGGGGATTTGGGAAGCTTGGGAGAGATCTCAGGTGAATAGACATAAAGAGTAATTTTGAGTTTCTATAGCAAGGGGTTGAGGGTGAGTCTTAGAAGGTTCCGGGGCTTGGCTCAATGTGGAGCCTTATCTGCAACCCATCCAAGCTGCTCAGAATCCAAAAAGAATGCCTCCAGACCTGGTACCGACAGCCTCCCCTCCATCAGATTACGCGCGCTGCAAGGAAGACTCTTTCCTTTTTTCAGTATTTCAGTAGGTTCCTCTGAGGGAGCGTGGAGATCAGAATACGCTTCTTGGCTTTATGTGTTCAAGCTTATTCTATTTCATTTGCTTATTACTTATATCCCATTCGAGGTGATTGGAGCTGGATAAGCAGCATTCTTTTTCATTTCTGCCACAAAGCAGTGGCATGCTCGCCATCCCCGCACCAGGCCAGCCCCTAGAAATGCAGAGGGGAGGGAAGCAGCATGCAAGCAGTGCCTTCTGAGTGCCAGTCACTCCGTGGGCATGTCACTTAATCATGGCAGCAGCTATAACAGGTGGACAGCTTGACTCTCTTTCTGTAGAAGATAAACCTGCAGCTAAACAGTAAGTGGCCGAGCAGGGGTTTGAACCCAGCTCTTCCTGGAGCACAGCTGGGCTCTGTCCGCTACTGCACTGCACCCCATTCCCCCGAGGGTGCAGAAGCTCAGGGTCTTCCTGCCCACATCTGTTTCCGCCCCCTCTCCTCCTTTCTGTACGTATCCAGATGAAACCAGGTTCAAATGATTATCAAAGTCACACGGGGGTGGAGAGTCAAGGAAAGAGCTGCACCTGTAGCCAGGTGGGGTGGAGCAGGCTCCCATTTCCTGGGGAGGTAGGGGGCGGAGCTGGGCTGATGGCAGGTGCTGGAAGCCTGACTAGCCTTCGGAGTCCACCTGGCTCCTACCCTCAAGACTGGCCAGAGTAGGGGAGAGGGCCAGCCCCTGACCCCAGGCTGGTGGCTTCTCTGAGGCAGGTCTGGCCTCTGGCTGCCCCTCTCTCCTGGGCATTTTCCGTTTCCTGTTGGTAGGAGGATGCAGCACCCTGCTGTCAGTGTTAAGCAGCGAACAGAACAGTGTCCTGTGAGTGAAGTCCGCGTGGGCTTATTCGAGACCTGTGTATGTTTCCAAAATTGATCCCAACAGGGGCTGCACTCGGTGCCATGCTGTGCTG